TTTCCTGGTCCACCCTGCCCTTCTGGTACTCATGAAATAACCAGATCACAGACTTTCCAGTTTAATCACTATTGCTTTTCTCTTAAATAAAGGTCTTGTTACAATAAACAAGCAGCAGTCATACTAATAAAGTCTCTGTTGTTAATATTGAAGAACTAAGTTTTCCTGTTATATATTAAAAAGATCCACGATTTCAAGTACTCAAGCTTTATTTTAGTTGTGTTTGTTAAAGAAACCAGAAGTGCTTTATATAACTTTTATAAATTTTTAGGATTTTAAACTTATGTATGAACTCCATCCAATTTTCTCTGATCATAGCATAGAGTTTCATCTTTTTGATACAGCAGATGAAAATTAACACCTACCTGTGCTCCATTTAAAACCTGAATAACACAACAAAAAAATCCACCCCAGTTAAATTCCTGCTTGAATTGCTGAAGACAACATTTTAAAGTAAAGATATTGACACTGAAAGAGAACTGAAAAGGTGAATATGTTTATAGCAATTTAAACAACTTAACTGGGACCAGGTTTAAAAATGGTGTAACCCAAACACATTTTAGTAATTTCAAATCTTAAGGTAGACATATAATCTAATTACATTGAACTCTTTCTATACTGCACTTTTCCTCACATTTAAAAAAGTTGTTTACTATAGTACAATTTCACAGTGATTAAAAAAAGGTGGAAAGGTGGAAAATACAGTCTACAGAAGCAACTCAGAGAACCTTATTCATTGTCATATAGGCTTGCTTTGGGCAGGAATCTCATAAGCATGTCTGCAGGTAGCTGAACCCTGCAATTCTGTGACATATCATTGATGGATGTACACTAGCATTATCTCAATAGTGAAAGAGAGATTTTGTAATGTAGGTCAGTCAGAGGATGTTTTAAAGGCTTTTATGGTTTTTATAAGGAGCTTCTAAATATAAGGATGACTACAGAAGAAAGCATGAATGTGTGCTATCAATGCTATTTAGTAAAATGATATTCTGGGCCAGGTGAAGGAGAGAGTCCACACACTGACGGTGAATGTGAGCTGATAGGTATGACAAGATAAAATGTGAAAGGGATTTTTCTTCACATTTTAAAGGGAAGAGAAATAAGATGTAACTAGTGCAAAAGATAAATGCCAGGAAGGCAAAGGGCTGCATGACATAATCCAGAACAATCCTTGCTGAAGGTTTTTGAGTGTGTAAGAGTGGGAAAAGATTGCATATGTGGAGTTGAGAGGAAAGGATACTGCAGTATCCTAATCTAGACAGGAGGGGAAGGAAGCCTGGTTTTCTAGCCATGTGGACAGACAGAAGAGACATATGTGACTGCAGAACAATGTGGTGATAACCAAGCTGTATCTTAATGAACGAATACACCAGGGAGTAAGGAAGTGAAAACAGCTTCTTCCCAGCAACAAGACAGGGAAGGGAGTATACTGATGTTCCTTGGCAGCTTAGAGATTTCTTGCCAGCACTATGGGCTAGAGCTGACTTGAGTAGGGTATCAGTAAGGGATCGGAACTTAACCTGCAAGCCATGTGCCAGTGCAGGAAGCCACAGCAGTGTCCCTGTAAACCCTGAGTGATGCCAGGAGATCAGTTATCAATCCACAAGTGGAGTGCAAGTATTTGTTAAGACTGGATAACAGAAGGGAGCTAGGTGTGGAGTGATGGGAAGCATCTAAAGCTTGGCTAGTTCTCCTTGAACAGTTGTGTCTGTGCAGGTAAATGTCCTCTAGTTGACTATACCATAATGGATAGCCATAAACATGGGACTAATCAGTTATAATGTAGAAGAGCTGATAATACTATTCCTATATTAATTTTTATATAATAACTTACGGCAGTATGTAATAGACACTTCCAAACTACTAACATAATTTTTGAACAGAGGATTTAATTTGCATATGTGATGTCTTAAAAATTTGAAAGATATTCTTGATTGTTATGCATAAGAAAACATTTATTTTGAACCAAGTTTGCAAGTATTTGTTAATGGAGATTTCAGACTGAACAAATTTCTTGATGATGTTGCTATTGCTCTGTGAAATGTCAGATCTAAGCAGAACAATTTCCTTGCCAAAAAACATTTACTGCATAAAATGTTAGCTGGAAAGTCTGAGGGGGGAGAAAACAAAACCCAATTTTCTGCAATTCCACTTAAAGGCAGACAGTCTTTTGATTTATTCCCTTCTAGCTAAATCATTGTTTTTCTTCACTGTTTCACATACAAAGCAAACTGCATACCAAAACCACACGCTTTATATGATTCAGAAGCTGGAAAGAAGTAGAGACATTATTGCTATTGATTTCAATAACATGAAATCAGCAGGTTGCTTTCCTTTCATTTTGGCCAGATAATAATTCTTATAAATGATATTTTAGTACAGAACTCTGTCTGTACACACTTTATGTTACACTCCCACCATATGTTACATAAAATGCTACAGTAAACGAGTAAGTTTTAGAGAAAAGAGTCTTTACTGTGCCTCATTTCCTTTCAAATCTGAATAAAGGAGAAAATTATAATAGACATGAAGCTGCATCTACATACAATTCTACATCTCATTCCAAAAATTTATTTTGAAATTGTTCTGTCTTCTCTATGTGATGGTCTTGCTAATGGTGTGTGATAAGCTAACTCAAATGTATATAGAAACACATAACAGGACTGGAATAGCAGAATTCTTTGAACTGTCTGCAGAAATAAAGATTTACCTCAAAAGCAAAGTAAAATGTTCACTTTTCTATAAAAAGCAAGTCTTCAAGCAGTTTGTTTGAAACAAACTATATGGAAAGTATAATGAATCCTGAATGCTTAGATGAAAACTGTTCAAAAGAAAAATCCACATGACTTTGAAAGACATGGTTTATTAATGGAGTAACTGTTACAGCCCATGGCTAGTATACCTTTTCTGAGAGAGAAGAGAGATAAATTTAAGTATGTCTGAGTAAATGTCTCAAAAAATAGTATTATGTGACTTTGAATAAAAAATTACTGGGGAAAATGTACATAACCTACCTTCCTCCTCCACTGCTGAAGTGTCCACATGAACACAGATTGTGTATCTATGGAAGGATATAATTACAGTTTTTTAAAATGTGTCATTCATCCTCTTTCATTCTACAGCTAAATATACACATCCTTAACATACAGTAAAAATATGGAGCATAAAATTAGGAAGATATTATCTGCCTATATTTAATACAGAGTCAATGTTTAGAATGATTGCAGGAACATCAAGGCCCTGGCAGCACTTCAAGACTGCATTTAAGAGTAGCTTCTATTGAAGACATATCAACCAAGTACCTTTCTGAACTAGAAAGAAATGGTAACATTTTCAGGTCAAATTTTCAAAGATATTTAGCCACAATGCACACATCCATGCACATGAAGCTGGCTTTCTAGACAGCACTTTAGTAGTCTTCTGGGGGAAATTATCTGCAACTGAGGACAGGGAGCTGATCACATTTTCATGTGTGCGTTGCTGCCTCTCACTCACAAAAGGAGCTGCTGTGCATGCAGTCCAGCAGCCGGTTTCTAAAGAGCACTACTGTGGTTTCTCCTAGGTGACCTGCTGTGTGCCTGGGCAGATTTGGCCTTTCTCCTGCATAGGATCTCTGAATGCATGGGGACAAAGGCATGGCTGAGAGCCCCTCACAAAAAGCAACTATGAAAGACTCAGTCTGCAACTGGGATAGCAAAATATGCATGCTAGGATTGCTGCTGTGCTGGGTGGTCTAGGGATTGTGTGCATTTGAGGATTTGGGTCTGAATTGATTTAGAGAGCAAGTCTGGGCTTGTATGCCGTATTGCACTTGCGAAAAAAACATCTCCCCAAGAGACTAAATCCTACTGGAAACCTGCAGGACTCAGATGCAAAGTCCTCCTGGGTCTTTTGCAAAGTGAGAAGCCTGAATCTAGGCTGAGCTTCGGGGGCTTGCAGGGCAAGGGGGCTGGTTGTTCACTGCTAAGGCCAACTAGAGTGTTGTCAAATCTCTTAAAGGGCCTGCTAAACTGAGGGCTCACCGTCTACCCCCCCGCCCCCTCCCCCCAGGTGTTGAGGGGTGCACCCAAATTTTCCAAGAAGGTTTGCTCCATGGGAAGGGCTTCTGCGGAACATACTGTGTTGCATATTAGAATTGTTTCAGAGCAGCAGATAGAAGTTACCTGGTTCTTTTGAAACTAATTGGTAAAAAACTTCACAACTACTTGGTGGTTTGTTTTTATAGTATTCTCTGTAATGCAGAAGAAGCTATTAGCATCTCAGGATTTTAAAACAGAATTAGCTATTGCATATGTGAGAAAAATCAGCAGTATTGTGCCTTACACTGCGAAGTGGAAAGTTTTCTCCTGAAAATGGGCTACTGTGTAAACCATGGTTTTGTAGCTACCAGCAGTAACAAATAACAAGTGCTTTCTAAGCAATTCTGGAACTGGAGCATTCCTGTTATTTCCAATTATAAGCCTTTGTTTCCAGAGAATATGAAATTCTGAGAAAAGAAGACAGGTCTCTTGAATGACATATGCTTTCTGCCTTCATCTTAGTACCATGTTTTGAAAAACAGAATGATTAAAGTTCCTTTTTTTCTGCTGAGGCAGTCACTCCTCCTGATCAAGAGAAGCATGCTGCAAATTGAAAACAAAATGGAACCGAAATCCTGTGCGTATTAAAAGTGAATGCATGAGAGGTATGATAAAGCGAGTGCAGATGTTAAAGTGCCAAAAGGGAAAGCTACCACTGAAGGCAGTACTGTAAGGGACACTGCAGTTGTCTTCCATGCACGCCCCGCCTGTCCAAAACTCCACATCTGTGCATGCACTAGCACAAGGAAATGCACTAAAACGCGAGGCAGCCCTGCTCTTGCAGCCGCGGTGGCTGCTCGCTCCCTTCCTCCAGGCCCCCATGGCTGAGCTCCGGCTCCAGCCCGCACCAAGGGGCTGCAGGGGGAGGCGGGCAGGTACAGCCATCCCCGGCTGAGGGAGGGGAGGCCCGGCCCGCGGGGCGCGGGCGGCTCCTGTGCCTCAGGCTCCCCACAGCGGGGCATTCCCCACCCGCCACCATGGGCTCTCCTGCCCCGCCTGCCCAGGTTGCTACATGCCGGGGGCAGCAGTGGCCGTGCCCTATATAAGAGGCCTGAGGAGCCAGCCCGGGGGGTCAGCCAGGACTGGTGTGCCATGGAGGCTGAGGAGGCTGCTGCGGCGGCAGTGAAGGCGGCCCTGCGGACACCCAAGTGCTCCCGCTGCCGTAACCACGGCTTCGTGGTGCCCGTGAAGGGCCACGCCGGCCACTGCCGCTGGAAGCTCTGCCTGTGCGACAAGTGTGCCCTTATCACCGAGCGCCAGAAGATCATGGCTGCCCAGAAGGCCCTGAGGCAGCAGGTGCCCGACCCCCCGGCCGGGGCAGCCGCAGGGCCCGCTCCCCTGGGCGAAGGCCCTGGGGCGGCCAGTGCCCCTGAGCAGAGCGGCCACGAAGGGGTGAAGGGCACCCAGCCCTCCGGCAACAGCAAAGGCATGGAATGCAGGGAGCCGCCACCACCGCCCAGCGGGGCTCCCTTCTGGGACTACGGTAAGGGCCTGTCCCCAGAGCCTATTCCCCTGTCCCGCCATCTTTCTTTTCATGTTCATCCTCCTCTTCCTCCCCATCAAACACTGCCACTTGTGCAGTTTCCACCTGTTGATTGCTCAGGCTCCAGCTCCCCAGAGAGCCGTTCCTGCTGTCTCTCCTGCTTTCCTTCCTCTCTGGACACAGGTACTCAGCTTGCATGTTGAATGTGCAAAGCTGCATTTGTTTTCCCTTTTGCAGGGTGTGCAGTGGCAGAAGCGATGCACTCAGCCTTGCTGCTTACTGCAAAGTTGAAGCTTAAGCAAGTGGCATTTCTCTGAGCGGGAAGTTAGTCTGGGAGGGAAACCAAATTGCGATCCGCTCTGCACTGCAGGTGCTCCTGTTTGTTTCTCCGAGTGCTGTCTCACTGTTTATGAATTCACAAGCACAAGCCTCCAGCAACAAAAATGCCAAAAACCTCAGCAATGGCAGGTAGATGGGGAAGTTACTGCTGCAGTTGCCTGCAGCAAGGATTTTATGATAGCACTGTAAAAGAAAGAGACCTTTTGGCCTTAATTCCTGTAGCAAAAAGTGAACTTGGCTGGAATCACTTGGTGTAAAAGTGCATTTGGTATTTAAGAGCAGAACATAGATTTTGCAGGTGGAACAGTTGTATGGTCTGTCACCTCTTAAATTGCTTCCTTTAATAGAGTCTTTCATGTGACTTGTCTAGTTTATTACTATTTATTATACTAACTTCATACTATTACTATTTACTATAGTAATTTCATGGAAATCCCAACTGACTGCAGTAGTCATTAGTCTGAGCCTCTGGAGAGTTGGCAGCCTGCAAGACAAAATGCTGTTCAGAGAAGCCCAGAGGAAAGACTTATTTCAGACATCACTAGTTCCCACCTAATCTGTCAATAACTGTTCCCTTTTTTTGTTAGCTTTGTTTCCTAAGAAAATTATGTTTATGGATGACACTAGCTGTACATGTGCCTGTCTGTCCTTTCTTTAATAACATTTTTAACCTGCTGACCAACTTAAAAAAAGGTTAGGGACAAATAGTATAATTCTAATGCTCCAGAATTTGACATACTCTTGAAGCATATTCTTACACTTTACTACCAACAGGAGGCTGTGCAGATAAGAAAGACCCTATTTGTATTCAAATAACCACTCTATTTTTTTTAAGATTTCAGAGAGGTCATATAAGATTCCAGACGCAAGATAAAAAACCAAAGGAATTAACTAACTTCTGCATCTGAAATTGCCTGTGTATGTCCCTAAAACTGAGCCTTTGTCTGTAAATTAACATAAGTGACAGACAGGACTAAAGTTAGAACTCTTACCTGTAGATTTTTGTTTTAAGTTCTGCTAGAGTTAAAAGCCTTAAGGTAGGTTGTTTTGCTGTTGCTGATGTACTGAAATAATAAGATTTTGCAGTGCTTCACTATGGACTAGCTTCACAGGGCACAAGGCACAACAGAACGCAGATCATTCTGTGTTACAGCTGCACCTTTCCTTAGTTCCTTAAAAAAAAACAGAAAATAAAATTATGAGGAGCTAAGCATGAAATCAGAGGACCAAATTCTCCTGCCTGAGAGTAGAATTTGGTCCTGCAGCTACTTCTACTGAACTCCATAGAATTACATGAATACTTTTATTGTTTTCTCATTGTTTGCTAGCTCACCCTGCTTTTCCTCCAGAATACATGGTCAGCCCAGAATACCTGGAAAGAGACCCTCCAAAAGTGTACCCTGGGTGTTCTGGGGTATATCCTTACCACCCATTTCCCATGGGATTTGCCATCAATGAGTCAAGCTGTAGGGGAGCACCATCACCTCCAGGGATATCACTTCAGAGAGGTTTCCGCAACTATGGGCCAGGGAATGCAGCTTCTGTGTCAGTAAGTAGCAGTCTTAATTACTCTGGAAATACTGCTGTCTTTACTCTTAGCTGCCTTCTTCCTCTTAAAGTATCCATGAAAAGTTATCCTGCTTATCAGTTACCTCACAGCATTTTGATATATTATGCTGAAGATAACATTAGCAAATAGTGATGTTAATAGTCTGACCTGAACCCAGAAGAACAAACCCATGCACCTGCAAGGAGACAGATTTTGTGAAGTGCTTTGGGGCTTATATGTCCTGTTAATATCTGCCACAGCCTTTTGGAATGATGGTAGTTGGACGCTTAATGTGGTCATGTTGTGCCAGCATAGATGGCACAGAATGTGCACTGGGAAGTTCCTCTTCTTCCATGCAGGACAAATATAGTGGGGAGGGAGAGTTTCAGGGCTTGGTGAAGGCACCACAGCTGCAGAAAAGAACAAGTGAAAATCAATTTCCACAAGGAAGCAAATCATCATGGTCAGCTATTTCTGTTTGGAGATATTTGTTTGCTCAAAAACAGCGAAAAATTGTGGTTAACAGAAGTTTCAGATGAAAAACTGTTCAGCATACAAACCACACAGACAAGATGCTAAATTGCCTGTCAGTTGTAATGGTGTGTGTGGGCACTTTCAGTTCCTTTCAGTGCTGTCAGTCATGTTTGTTCAAACTAGTGGTGTCCAGTTTTTGTGCCACAGTTGGGCACATTATCAGATTTCCAGCTGCCATGTGCCATTCTCTCTGTATTGAGTACACTTCATCAGTTCATGTTAAGGTAGAGTGATCTGCCTCAAGCCTACTAGATTTATTATGCTTGCATAGAAATTCCCTGTCACATTTTAGGGGTTACTGAGAAAGAGGGTGGCTATCAGCAGTCTGAAATCCAGGTAAATTATCCTGGTGGATATACACAGGTTGGGAAATGCTTTGTCTAGACCATCACTGTATGTGGTTTTGAACTTAATTTTTAACTGCCCTGAAACAGATGGAAAGATCTCAAACAAGTTCTGTCTGTACCAGGGTACATGGCCAGATCCAAGAGAAAAATGCTCCTATTTCTCTGATGCTAGTGTTTTTGAGGGACGGAAATGTCTCCTTGGACACGGAATGAGTTTTATCATGATCTAACAGGTCTGGTGATCACAGAACACCAGGGCTGTGGGGCACTCTGCAGTGCACACCAGCCCCGCAGTGTAGGTAGAGCCCTTCACTTTGCTGGGCTCAGGGGAGAATCCGTAACTAGGAGGGTGGTGGTGGCAAGGGGCATTTTCCTATGTTGCCTCACTGTTGCATGAAGACTTCCAGACTTGTTCGGTGGCAAGTACACTGAGTCAGTGGTGAAGGTGAGCTGCTTCTGGTTTAAACCAACTGTTCTAATGAGATGCCAGAACAGGTGATGAGAACTCAGAAGGGCAGCTTCAGCTGAGACATGGTCTGAGAAGCTGCTGCTTCTCAGTTTCAGCATGTTCCACTGTGCACGGTCTTTGCATGTGCTAGTGCGTACATGGATGTGGCAGCATATAGCCACAAAATGGACAAAAAATGTAATACTCTCAGATAAAAACTGAAAGAGAAATTGTTGGTACTGCAGATGTATCCTGGAGAGAATCTTTAGATGGAAGATGCTTTGCTTCCTGTGTTTCCACAGATTCCAGATGGTGGTGGAGATTTCCAACAAGGATACTACGCTCCTTTGCCTCAGTTCATCCCACCAAGTTTTCTGACAGGGATTCATTACATTCCACCTCCCCTTTCGCTGAACATGTTGGCTGAAACAACCAAGGAAGCACATGGTAAGGAAGTATGAGATAAACCCTCCTGGGAGATCCAGTTTTAAGCTGGTTTCAATATCTAACCACAGAGATGAAAGCCCCAAAAGACCCTGATTCTAGCTAGTTTACAGGGGTTCTCAGATCCCTGTGATGGAGCCAGGACTGAGATCCTGAAGTCCCAGGACAGATTGCCAGCTTGTACAGCTCTGGCAAGGGCTGACTTGGGGCAAACAGCCTGACATGCTTCGGCTTCCCAGCTGACAAGCACCTGAATGTTACACAGACATTGAAGACCCCAAGACTCAGAGCTATTCAAGAATATGATCTGCTGATGTTCTCAGAATGAAAATATTTTCCTAAACAGCTATTTTGCAGGACATAATTTAAAAATTATTTGCCTCTGTTGCAATTTAGACAAAGTGTTAAAAAAATGCATGAATAATATGACATTTCTTGCTCATCTGAGAATCCTACATTTTAATTGCTGTAAATGAAAGACTGAATTTGCAAAATCTCAAGTTGTTTTATTGATTCTCCCAGGATTTTAAATTTCTGACATAGGTCAGGTCTTTGTGCCCATCTCTTTTGGGTCTGTTCCATGTGTTGTGCCTACATGTGGACATATTTGTGATTATATTTGCAAGTTTTTCATTTGGCTGCAGCTAGCTGTGACCACAAGAGGGTAGAGCTGCTCAGAGAATTAACCACTAGCACTGGATGAATGAATAGCCAGTTTTATTTTAAATTCTTTTTGAAAATGCAGATAAATACAACTTTATTTCTCTTCTTGAACATGAGAATAAAAAATTGATAATCTGTTTATGAAACAGATTACAATAATCACCCAGTGAAAAATCAAATCTCTTGTATAAGAGGGAGGAGAAATAGAGGAGTGTAATTATCTCATTTGAATTGAAAAGACATTGATGGTGGTTATGTGGGACAAAATGTAAGTTGGGGAGGGTTTGGCCTGCTTTCTCGACAACATAAGGCTTGTGCAGTCTCTTTTTCTGTAATGTCAGTTCTCTTGTAACTTTTCAACCCATTAGTTATTTTCAGCCAAACGTATCTGTTGTGATCACAGGCCTACACAATATTGATCTGCAAGGGAAACAGATGCCTTCCACAAAATGGTTTGTTTGCAGCCATGTCATGGTGTTTGGCTGGCTGTCAGTGTGCATTCAGTTCCCGAGTGATGTGTGTGTACCTTGGCCAACAATCAAGTGCCTGCCAGTCAGCCCAGCAGTGGGCACGTATCTTCAGAGCAGTCAGAGCATACCTGCTTCTTGTCTGGCTGGAAAGCCAAAGAAAAGTAAGCAGGAGATGTAGTGAACAAGGGGAATATTAAGAATATGGCAATGTGGGGGGTGTACAGACACTGTAGAAATGTAGAGTTATTTTAAGATACTGGTAAAGGCATTAGGAATTTAATGCAGTGTGTAGGAGATACAAGTGTGCATATAACATGGGGTGAGTTTGAGGGGAGGAGAAGAAACTGAGAGCTGTCAGGCAAACCAGAAAGTGTATATGAGAATTAACGGGTTTTGTGATTGGGAGGGGACAAAAGATCTGCAGGATACTGCACTGGCAGCTGTTTTGTTAGAGTATGTGGGAATGGGAAGGAACTGGGAGTAGCTGACAAACATGGGGGGCATGGAGAAAAATAGTGGTATTGCATAAGGAAAACAGAGGACATCCAGTCCTGTATTGGTAGAGTGGAGTTGTACTGGCCAAACAATCATGAAAACAGGCAACTGCATGGAGAAGAGGTCATGAGAGCACTCCTCTAGAGAGCAAAATGCCATCTAATGACCTCAGCCCTTATTACACACTAGGGAAATCGCAACCCAGGCAGAAAGCCATAGGAAACAGTGCATCATGGATTGTGCTGCTCAGAGAACAATCCAGTTTTCTCAGTACTACAGAGAAAGTACAAATTGATTCCACTACATAGTATTTGTGCTTCAGGATATGTAGGAATTTGCAATTGTGACCCAGTGAGGGGGGATTGTTCTGCATGAGGTCATGTACAAGATAGCTTGCCAGCAGAAGATGCAGATGTAGAGGGAAGCTACAGTGAAACTAATAATTCTTTGATTCTGGTATTCAAGATGCTTGAAGAAAGAGAAAAGCTGCAACATTTAGTGCATAGGGATGTATTAGGTTTGCATCATGTCTTTTTTCCCAAGAAAGGAACTGACTCAAACCTGCAATTAGACTTGGGAACATCCTTCATCCAGAGAGACCTCCAGAATTGAGGTGAAATGGGCTTTCTGGCAAAAATGTTGCAGGAAAATGGATATAGAAAACTCCAGCAGGGGACAACTGGTGAGAAGAAATGTCCGTGATCTCTACCCTGAAGGGAATCTGAAATGAAAACAAATGTATAAAAAAAAACAACAACAACAAAAAAAAAAACCCACAAACAAGTCCTGTCTGAAAAAGATTTTTCCAAGACTAGAAGCTGCTATCAGAAAGATGTGAGTCAATAGCTGACTGCAGCTGACTGACTGAGGCCAGTTAAGTTTACAGCAGTGATGTGAAGTATAGGCCATGTTGTTACACAATTTCATGCAGTATTGACTAGTAATGTTATGGAGATTTGACAAAATAAAGACCCTGTATGTTCATCAAAACAACCAGTGCAGCATCTGAGGATAGAGCCTGATTGCAGATTGTTGGCTTTCTAAAAGAACAACCTGCAGAAAAACAAACAAAAACCCACATTGCCCATGAGGAAATGAGGGAGCTTTTGATGCAAATTGTCAAGTAAATACTTTCTAAAATAAAAATCCCTAGCTGGATTTGAAGAGGGGATTATTCAGTCTGTCAAGGCCTTTGAGAATTCACAGGAGTGTTGAAAAGGCATCGTGTAGATTCACTGCAGTTAGGTGGGCAAAAGAGTCTGCCTCGTAATTCTATTCCAGTGCAGCTTCAACACTTGCCATCTTGAGGCACTCTGCTACATTTCTTTAAGCATGGCTGAAACAATCAACTGCTGTCTGAAGTGCAGGATCTCAGTTCAGAGAGCTGCAGCTCCTTGATGTCAAGCACCTTTGAATTAACTGGGTTGAAAAACAAAGTGCATTGACAAAAGTAACTTTACATTGAGAATTTACTTCTGGAAATGTGACTGATACCAGGTGTAATGCAAACGGAAATAATAGAGTTTGGGGTTTTTGGTTTGTTTGTGTTTAACTGACCTTTTTCTATTCTTCATTTTTATTTCAGCTACTGAAGCTGACAGTCAGGATTCAGGGGTGGTTCACGAACCTAGCCAACCACCTTCCTCCCCAGAAGAAACAAGCAGAGACCAATCTCAGTATTCTAAACAGTAAATGGGCTGGAGAAGAGCTGTGCAGCAGGCAGCACTGTTTTCATTTCTGAGCAGTTAGTTTGTAGCAGGGTAGAGTGACACTTAGTCACTGAGCAGTCACAGCAGCTACAGGAAGGGGATTAGTCCCCTGCCTCACTTTATGATCATGTTAGAGCTACCAGGCTCATAGCTTAGCCTCCCTAGCACTGTAAAGCCCTTGTTCCTAAAAGAGGTTTTCCAGAGCCATGGTAAATCCCTTCCCCCTTAAGCAGGTGGAAGCAGCACATGATTATGACTGAATTTGTTTCCTTTGCTGAGGTTAGATGGCTCCCTGACTTTGGAGTGAGGTCTCTGAGCCATGTGCATTCTGTAGCCTTCTCATGTTATGACAGTAGTCAAAAATGTGTTGTTTGTATACCAATTTGCTGTAAAAGAAACCTGGTTCTGAATATTACAGAAGAGTTAAATGATGCGGAGCCTGAAGACTGAGTGAGAGAAGATGGGAAGACAGTGTGGATTGCTGATTTACTTGGCTGCATAAGAACATGATTCACTGGATTCAGCAGAGTAAGGGAATAGTAGGTGCTACTACACTTGTAAAGAAGGGCATGGGAGGAATTTGCAGAAAGGTCTGGTGTAGGCTGAAATCCAGTGCCTCCACGTTACTTTCTGGGTGAACTGCCTTTAAAGCATCTTCTGTTCAGGTTGGGGACAGACTGATTTGGAATTACTTCATGTCACACAGGCTTCAGAATTTTGAATGTCTTTCATGGTTTATACATAAATTCAATGTTGTTTAACTCAGTACAACTGAAACTAAACAGTACTATTTGTTTCTAAAGGGCTCGTGCAGACAGGTTTATATGTGTGTATTGGAAGTGCACTGTGGCATATCAAAGGTGTGGAGAGATTGCCTAGGAAACAAGGACAAAACACCATTTAGCATAATAATTAGTCAAATGCATATATATTATAATTTTCAATGATAATGTTTAATTAAAAATTAAAGGTACATTCCTCTGTTTTGCGTAGAGGAATTGGTTTTGTATTAAATGGATCAGTTGTTAATGTTTGAATAACTTTCTGGGACTTCTGTATAATTAAAAAAGATACATTAAATTGTTGGTATGGTTTGATGATTTGAGGCTTGAATATCTACACATAATTTTTCTAGACAAATACCAGGTGTTGCCCTGAACAGCTCTGTGTAAAAACTGGTCTGGAGAGAGATTTATGCTTCAGTATTTTTCTTCTGCAACTTTTGACTACTGCTGTAGAGGTTAACACAGCAAAATAAACATTCTTCCTGTCTGCTACTTGTACTAACAATCCCTTGCTCAATGCAAGATGTAAAGAAATTATACTAAGCTGAATTTTATTTTTTTTTAAGTGTAGTAGATGATCTGCTGGAATGCTTTCCAGCACACAGGGTTTGGGGGGGGACGGTGAGTGGAAGTAGCAAACCTAAAACTACCAAGAGGAGAAGCTGAAAACCACATACATCTATATCAAATAATCTAATATACAACTTGTTATATACTAGATTTACAACAGCATCTCTGCTCCCAGGAATGTCCTAAACATCCTCTTAAAACTGCTGTCTGCCTGGGAAAATCTAGATACTTTTTTAAGGTGTCTGGATGGACAGCACAAAGCTTTTTTCAAAATAAAATAATCTACAAATAGAAATACCAGAAGCACCAACTAAGCAGTTTCCTTGGTGGATGGAGGGTTATTTTTTTATGTATATATAATATAATGATTTAAAGAAATAGTAACGTACAAGATGAACAGTTGAATAGTCTCCTTCCCAGATATTTTTCTAAAGTCATACTCGGTGTTGTATTATTCCTTAAATTGCAAAGCAAGATGGACTCCAGCCCTTTTCTCTGACTGTAATGCAGTCATTGTAGATATACTGCATACACAGGACTGTTTTCTCTCTATTTTGCTGTGCCAGTGACCGCTTGCAGATTGCCAAGCCAAACTCCTTATTTTCCTTTTCCTCCATCTTCTTGAACTACCGGTGAGTGAGTCCAAGCCTTTACGTTGGCTGTTTGAATGATGGTATGGCACTCCAGTAGGATGTCTCTCACTGGACTGCAGCAGACCAATGTTCATCTCCAGAGGGATGTAGCAAGTTTAAAGAAGAGGCAGAGAAAGGCAACTAAACTGAGTAAGAAGATGGAGGAGCTGCCTTACAAGGGGAGTCTAAAAATAGACCAGTCTTCAGTTTGTAGCAGATAAAGTTGAGTGGGGATATGACTCAGTTTTAGATCTTCATGTCAGCTGTGGCAAAGTAGATGCAAAACCATTACCAAACCTTGCTACTTCCGTACACATGAAGGACAAGAAGGTGAGCAGGGACAAATGATGTCTGACCAGCTTGATTACCTTCTATTAGGAAATGACCCCAGGCTGAACTCTTGAACAGTTAAAATTGGCTTTCCTACAGCACCAATAGTAATGCCAGTACTGTTTAATATGCATAATCATAGCATCAGTCAAACTTTTTTTGGTGTCATTTCAGATTTTTACGTTTTAGGAAATTTGTCCCCAGGTTCTTGCACTTATCCCTGGATGGAAAAGTAAATGACTCAGTAAGAGAATTAAACTAACTCTCCAGCTGACAGGCAGAATTATCTTATGTGGATAATTCAAGTTTTCATTCTTCCACTTTATGCTCAGCTTGTCCTTTTTAACCAAGGAAAAAATGTTCCTTGACAACTGGTATTGTCATACTGTGCACTTAAGGACTTCAAAGTGAATAATTTTAATTCCAAACTTAGCGCCAACCAATGTTTCCAATAATTAAACTCTCTGATCCCTTCTGACTCCATTTATTTAAATAAATAACTTGGGGATAATGAAATCAATTTGGATTGAAATGGAATGATTTGGATTAGACAAGTCACTCAGAGGTTGTTCCATCCTAAATCATCCCAGAGTTTTATTGTTTTTTATTAAGACTAAAGCCCCATAGACTTTGGTCAAATTCATAAAATTTGGGGAGAAAAAAAGAAAGCTATGATACTTCTGAAATCTTTCTGCAAGCAAGCTGCTACTGACTGCAGTAGGAGTTCCGCACATTGCTTTTGTCACCATTATTTTCTGATTTCTAAGGATTGACTCCCTTGTTAAACAGATCAGAACTTCTGAAGATGTGATTCCTAATACCCGACATTTCTGTCAATTCCCTGCCCTTACTGCAAGCCCCTAGGCCATCATGGAGCAACAAGCTTTGTTTGTACACTGAAGGGAAAACCTGAAATTAGGAACCGGTTCTTTAACATTTACTCACACCACTAATTTCATTACTTTCAGTGGAATTACTTGCGAGGGTACAGAGTTGACAACGTTGGTTAGGTATGCAAGTTTAGAATCCAAGTTTTATACAGAGGTGTCTGTGACACTGTCCAAAACCTCAGATTATTGTAATTTGCATTTTCTGTAGGAGCTTTGGAAAAATGAAAACAAGCCCAAGGGATTCTAGAAGGATCACGTAATGTGTCCATTCTGTGAACATATGTAAGATTCATTTGTCATTGCCCTGCAGCAAACTGCTAGATGTTAACATTTCTGTGGTATCGGCTTCTACATCTGGACTGAAGCAGGTTTTCTTATGACAGTGATTATAATACTCTCTCTAGGTCTTTTATTTCTTTTTCTTCTTGGAATTAGATGCACCCAGTTGGAAACTTCTGAATCCACAGCAAGACTATAGCTGTTTTTTCCACATTAATGAGTAATTAATTTTGAACAGCAATCCAAAGACATATTTAATTGCCTACCAATAAAGTCAGCTTGCTGCAAACAAAATTCTCCCTCCCCTTAAAAAAATAATTTTCATGACAGAAAAATTCCTGATGATGTGAAACATACCTATTTTGGAACAGTGGAAACTTTAATTAAATCATTCTTATGGGCAAGTGGGTCTGGTTTTCCTATTTTCTGCCCAATATTTTACTACTGCAACATTAGCATTAGCCACAGAGTTATGTCTCTACTTAGCTTGCCAGAACGTAAGGGAGAAATCCAAATATAAAGAAATTGTGGAATCTTTTCCTGAAATCGGATTGTCACTGCATGTTTTACACCTAACCCAGCCACTGAGAGAGCTCCCTGTCCACCACTGATGACCAGGCCGTGATGTGCCCATTCACCCACCTATGTATTTTACTTCCCTGTATCCTTACAGGTATGTCTTATCATACACAAGTAAGGCTTGAAGAACCTGGGCTAGAACACTTGTGAAAAAGAACCCACCCAAACCAGCAGGCTTATTTTAGTATTACCTTTATTTACAGTGGGTAACATTTTTCTCTTGTTTCTCCCTGCTGGCCCTTCCCACAGACTCACTGGATATTGTCCTCAGCTGGGCAACATTAGTGGCAACCTTACTACTGGCTTTATATGGTGATCCCCTATGGATGTAATGATAGGCCAGTTCTGATCTCACACTGTTTTCACTTTTATTTTAAGCAACTGCCTTTAGTGGAGGCATTTCTGGTTTCATTTACTAATTACTGTCAGGGTTTTATAGTCTTACTGGTACAATCTATTCAAAAATATCCAGGCCACATAAACTAGAGCAAATACAAAACATTTCTTTTTCAAAACGTGGTTTAAATAACAGTCATATGCATAATTCCCTAGGAGAACCTTCCTAGTTTTTCACAACAGGCTCTGTTTCCCATTAAGAAGTGTATTATTGCGATCAAGGTGCAAATCGACTGTTTCTCATGCTCTTCCAACAGTAACTATACACTTACATTCAGGTAATTTGAAAGCCTCCTGTACCTGCAGATAGCTAATTTTTTACATTCTCTTCCTCATGGACTGTCTCACATCATGAAATTGTTCTTTCCTTCCTCATGTTCCTCAGTCCCGGGGTTACAAATTTGTTCTAAATATCTCTAGGCCCTTTGGCCATCTTCCTGTCTTTCCAAAGGCATGCACAAAGCTAGTAATCCCATTCCCCAAAACTGCCCAGCTTTATAGAGATTTGCAGAGGCCACGCCTGCTTACTTTACTTTCCTTACTGACCAAGTATGCAGCTGTGTTTTGTTTTTCCTCAAAACACTTTACAGTATTTTTCATGGCCAGTGCAATGATGGCATACCAATGAATCAGAAAGACGAACCTTTTTAAAAAAATAGAGAAGTAATGAAATAATTTTTGTTCTAAAGAAGCAAAGCACCTGGCACACTCAAGGTGTAGAGGAAGATAGAAAATCAGAACCTGCACTCACATTTCCTTATAGGCTTGGGAGTGACTTATGGAGGAGAAAGCCACCTGTCCACCATCAGCATCCAGAAAACTCCGGTGGTTGTGTTCACATAGCTGGCGATACACCACAACTTTGTTTTTGAAGACCGAAGTGCTATCAATACACTTTAGCAAACACATACTTAAGAGGCTGTGAGAGGGAGGCATCATTAAACCCTTCCCACAGCGAGAGGCATCAAGCGGGCCCCACCACCCCCATCCGCAGCAAGAGGGTGACCGGGAGCCCTGGCGGCGCAGCTGGGACACTCGCCACCTCCAGCTCCCCTCAGCTGCGCCCTCTCCCTGCCCCTGAGCGATCTCAGGGCACCGGGCTATGAGGGAGCGGGACGCGGGGTGTAGCGGCGCGGGTGGGCGGGCGCTGAGGGAGAAGGGCGGCGGGCGCTGAGGGAGAAGGGCGGCGGGCGCTGAGGGAGAAGGGCGGCGGGCGCTGAGGGAGAAGGGCGGCGGGCGCTGAGGGAGAAGGGCGGCGGGCGCTGAGGGAGAAGGGCGGCGGGCGCTGAGGGAGAAGGGCGGCGGGCGCTGAGGGAGAAGGGCGGCGGGCGCCTCGCGCCTCGTGCTCGCTGAGAGACAAAGCGGCGGCGGCGCTGAGGCGGGAGGCGTCGTGAGGCGGGGGCCAGGCCGGGCCGGGCCGGGCGCCTCCCGGGGCTGAGCCCGGGCGATTGTCTGGGTTTCCTGTGAGTGCATCTGACCACTTACATAGTAAGTAAAAACTACAGTTTAAAAACAAGTTTTGGAAGGCATATGTGGCACTGCCTTTCACGGTGTAAATCAAGCTTGGAACGTGGGTTACCAATTCTCGATGTAGCTTTCCGTTTGATACCCATTTAAAA